GAAGTCTATCCGCAAGCGAAGATATGAACAAATCTGTTTGCCTTAAAAGATGTGTCAAACGCGTATCCTTTTGGGCATCCAAAAGACGCAAATAGGCCGCTTCATCGTCTGCCTTTAGTGCCTGCAATCGCTCTTTGGCAATTTTCTCGGCCCTTTTAACTTCTTCTTTTTCTGCCTGCGCATGCAGGGCCAAAGTCGACTTGGAAAGCTTCGAAGCTTTTGTTGAAGACTTTGAAAGCAAAGCTCTGACGCATTCGAGCGATGATAAAAGAAACCTTGAAAAGATGCTTATCTTTGAACCGTCATCACGAGGATGCCCATAATCACTTTTTTTAATAGGCTGTTGATAATAGAGAGGCTGCCGCTCCGGGGCAACTGCAAGCAGAATGTCATCTTTCAATCTGCTAAGTAGCAGTTGCTGCATTTTTCTTTGAAACGGGCGAAGTTGAAGGGCCTTTAATTCAATGGTCGCAGCTAACCTTGAATCTTGAGAAATAAGGGAAGTTGGGGAGTTCGAATCGGCTCCCAATGTCAGATTTGAAAGATATTCGATTCTAGATCTTCTCTTTTCTTCTTGCAGCGCTTCATAAACACTATTGGCAAATTTTAAATTAAGAGATGCTGGTGGAGCAATGTTAGGAAAGGTAACTTGTCCAGCATACTGAGAACAGGAGCTGGAATCACTACGAAGCCCAGATAGCAATAGTTTTATGGCTTGATGTGGTGATTCGTTGATCAAAAATGATGCAGCGCTGGATAGCTCGGGACGTTTTCCATGTTGCCATTCATTCAAGTAGAATTCTCCAGACGCGCCAAGACTAAATCGATCAATAAGAACCGGAGGAAGAAGAGACGAGGATTGCGAATTTACTGGCGAAGAGAGGATTTTAAACCCTAGAATTTGAGATTTAAATAAGTCCAATTGGGAGGAAGAAAGAGCAGGTGACGTCTGCTCAGTGGTGTTTCTAGTAGAGGGTAGGAATTCCTCCATATTGATGATAAAAAATATTAGATAGCAATAAAGTAATGTAACGGTAATAAATTTAAAATCAAGCCATTGACCCAGGGGCTATGGCCAAATTGGAAAGGCGTTGGACTACGAATCCAGAGATTGCAGGTTCGAGCCCTGCTAGCCTCGTTTTTTAGAATTTAATTATTTATTTTAAAATTATACCAGCAGAACCGCATTGACACAGCCGTCGTTTTCGGGATGGTTTGTAATTTGGGCATATTTGCCCCATACCACCTTTCCACCAGATGTAACGAGTCCTAGTTCTGAAACGTTAACTTCAATGATGGTTCCTTTGGTCAATACGCCAAGCTGGGTATAAGTAGGGCTTTGGGGATTTTTCTTGACGCCTAAAATTGGGAGTTGAAAGGTTGTTTTTAACTCGGGATGCGTGACATCTGGTGGAAAG